AAATTTTCATGGTGGAAATAGGCGTTCCCTATAAATATTAGGAATTTCGACAAATGCCTAACTCTTATTATTAATAGCTAATCTAGTTAATACTCTTGTAAGATTTATATAGTTCTAACAATTCTTGTTCTGAATGCTTGGTTATTATTACTGTTGTGAACTATATTAGGCTTTTGCTATCTAATTATTTAGGTCTTGCTAAACAAATTTTTATCTTTATTAGTTTTATAAATTCTATCTAATACCAGCTTATATTTTTTTGTATAACTTTTTGATTTCATAAATGTTTTATAATTTTTTAAATTTTGATTTAGCTCCTGTAAATCTTCTAAAATAAGTTATTTTAAATTAAGTGTAATTTCAATTTAAATTATTATTACCAACCACTATTTGGTTTAACTATAATAAAGAAAACCTTGATTTATTATATAAAATATATATTAAGATTAGGGTTAGATTTAGAAATATATGTGATTATATGCAAAATTAGGTGCTGAACAATTTTACTTAAGATACCTATATATGGTTACTTTAGTAAAATTTTGAGATATTAAAGATTTTTGATTTTTTTCTTATACTGGGTATTATACCTACCGGATACAAATAGTAATTCTCTTGTTTTTTATATAAAAATTTTAATTTGTTTTAATAAAGATAAAATAAGCTTTTTAAAAACTAATTTTAGTAGTATTTATAATATAGAGATATAATTAATATAAAAATTAGTAAAAATAAATTGTGATTATATTGATTTTGTAATTATAGAGAAGGTGTCTATAAAGAGGTTTAACTATATTTTTAAAATTTTACTAATTAATTCTATCTTTATACAGCTTAGAATAAAATAAAATATTTAATTTTTTATTTAAACAATCATATTAGTGATCTTTTTATTAAACTTATATCATATTCTATTTATAATAATAACAATAATAATATTATAAATTTTTTAAAATTTCTTAAATTAAAACCATTGATGCTAAAATTTAAACTCTAAATTTTATCAAACCTACTAATATCTACATTATAAAGTATAACTAAGTACTTGCCAGTACTTACTAAGTACTTATTAAATACTTATTACAATTGCTTATTAAACTAATTCCAATACAGCTTATATTCAGTAAATATTTAAACTAAGTATTTAGCAAATAATTATATAATTATAATAAGAGTTTAATAAATATTTATAATAAGTACTTAATAAATAATCACAATAAAGAAACATTTAAATAGCAATAATCTCTTGATATAATAATCTACTACTTTCAAACATTTGTTACAGGCGGCAAAGCTGCCTACATAACCATGTTTCTAGTTATTTAAAAATCTTCAATGACCGTCAGCACAAGCTGTGGTGTTAGTTAAACATAAAAACTTTTGGGACAATATACGGGCTTAAAAACTAGCAATAAGATCTAAATTAGCTATATTAAGAATTATATCTCGAGGTAGTGCCATACTAAAAGGATAGCTAGGATGTTTACAATTCTGCAGACCTGCCGTGTGTATACCATTTATAGTTACCCTGCTCAGGTCTGAAGAATTTGAAAAAGAAAAAATAGTACCTCCACTATTACCACACATGGTAATCAACCTATCTATAAGGAACAGGTCTGCACTGTAGTCTCTTTCCTCATCTATAAGAAACCCATTAAACGCATCTACGTAACCACAATAACTTATTGTAGTGCGACCAGACATGCATAAATGTGCACCATGGCTAGATACGGGTACACCATCAGTGACAATTAATTCAGCGTATGTACGTGTATTATCCAAACGTCCACTATTCCTTATATTCGTTGATGGTCGAAGGTTTTTACTCATTTTTTTTATATCAATTAAACCAAAGTCGTGTGGGGATACAGAAGAATATACCATTTCACCAATTAATTTTGGGTCTGTAGTATACGTGGTAAAAGGTTGTTTTTTAGATCTGCGCTTGGCACAATGTCCTACGGTTACAAGTAATGTTTGATCTTTATTTTTTCTTCTTGCCCAAAAACCCGCTGAACATAGTGCTCTATCAGCTTTATTATATATACCTTCACCAGATAATAGCAAGTAACTCATTTTGCTCGAGCCTATACCCCTTTTAGTATTTGTTGAAGTAGTGTTAGAGGGCAAATGTACATCCGCATCATATTTCCTTGCAATATTTATAAAATCTAAAACATTTTGATCTGGTGAAAAAATACAGTTACAATGATTTTATTAAATCTTGGAACAATACCAGTAAATATTCCTCTTGGTTTATTCTGCTGAGCTATTCTATCTAAATCTTTAAACGAGGATTTTAAATAAGCTAAAGGTTTGTCTACTTTTCTAAAGTCCAGAAACTTTTTATATTCGCTTATATTAGGGTTAGAAATTATATCTCGCTTCTTATCCATATTTACTGTATAAATTATTACTAAATTGTTTGTTACATTTATATAAGTTCCAGCGAAATTTAAATCGTCTAGATATGGCTCTAATATTTTATTCACCTTATTTAAAAGTGACTCTCTCTCCAGGTATTCTGGCACTTGATCAAGTTCTATTTTCCATAATCTTGCTAATTGTTGTTGAGCATGAATTATTAAATGTTTTTGGAACGTAAAAATAAATAATAAATTTATTACAAAGTAAATGTATTTCATATTAATAGATTGATGTTAATTGGTGTGTAAAATAGAAAAAAAAACAAAATTAATATTTTTGTAAATATAAGAGTTAGGCATTTGTCGAAATTCCTAATATTTATAGGGAACGCCTATTTCCACCATGAAAATTTGCTATTTCCACCATGCTTATCACATAAGATTCAGCTACATAAGCATGATTTCATGGTGATTCACTAAAACGTATGTTATTTTCAAATTGACATAAATTGAGAAATGACGTGTATAACAGTGATTTTCCTGGCAAATGACCCAAATGATGGAATTGTCTAAAGCAATGTAATTTTTAAGTTGATTAATAATAAATTTGTAAAGCCACGTGAGGCATATAAATTACTATATACTTGGCTTCAGACGATCCCCAGATGATGACAAAAATTAAAATTAAAGTCGGAAATCAGTAGACCTATAAAAAAAGTCGACCCAATGTTGCATATTCACGGAATTTATAACATTAAATCATGGAGCTTGTCTAGATTTTGTCGATCATGTTGCAATTTTCATAAAGAAATAACGGAAATATTTTTTTAAATAAGCAATTCCTTATTATGTTCATATAGTGGCATCATTTCATCGACAAAATAATCATATTTCATTATGGATGAATCCAGACCAAAAATATTATTACGTCATATATATAAAATTTGGCATTTCTGAAATCTGTGACAGGTTAGTCAATTACCTGCCTGACTCTATCAGGGCGGCATAAAAATTGACCCCGATT